GAAAGTACTCACAAAGACAACAGTTCCAAAAAATATATTGACGTTGTATAAAAATGCCACAATTTAAATGCCTATAGTAGTCGCAAGTCTGGAGTCTAAATACAGTTAAATGTCTGCCAACGATTCCTGTTTTGATATTGATTATTGTTCATTGCCCATTAGTTGTTATCTTGGCAACAAAACTCTTTCTAGCGTCCATATTGAAATATACATATATACATATATATATATATATATATATATATATATATATATATAATTAACAAATGTTTAACTTACAGTAGCCAACTGTAACATAGTTACAGTATCACCACTACAGCCAACTCACTAAAATAACATCAAAACAAAATAGATATCACACAGAATGATTAACAGTAAAACATTGAGATAAAGTTAAAGTTCAAAAATATCCACTTAAGTAAGTTCTTAAAACTTTTCTTGAAATCTGAAGTACATACATACAGTTAACAGATTACCTTTTAGTAGTTATGGCTCTAATAGAAAAAGAAATATTTGTTGTGTTTCATACACTGAAGCCATAAGGCATTGAAGCACCCTGGATAGGTTGCTAGTCATCTACATTTTTTACATTCAGTAAGATGAAACCAGATAACCCAAACCAGCCAAATTCCAAACAGAAAGTGCTGGGACCTCTTTCTGTGGGGTGACTGTGTCAACCATTAAGCTAACTCTGCCATCACAAAATTCACTATATTCCAATTATGCAATGATCCTCTGTGCACACAATTTTCACTTTGGTAAAAGTCTAGCAGAATATGCTGCTTCACTCTGAGTGAGTTTTGGCCTCATTGCAAAGGATTTATTAAGTTAGAATGGTGGAGGAGTCAGCGCTCTTCTACAGTACATGGCAACCATGCCAGATACACTGTAGCACAGCTGGTCGTGAACAACTGGGAGACCATATGGTTGTGTTTGGACAGGGGATTTGTGGAGTTTGGGAATAAGCCCATCTGACATACACAGGGGAGCAGGGAATTTGTCCCTGTCAATTGCAATTATTAGTACCGACCCATAGACTACAGTAGTCTTGTGTTTCTGTTGCATTTGCTTTTTTGCTTAATTTCTTAATGCTCTGGTTTGTTAAAGTATGGCTCAAGGCCCAGAATGAGAAACAGAGCTGCTTATGCTGCTTTTTGTACATGATTCCTTAAGTTAATTTTGATAACTCTGACAACAAATATGTCTGTCACTTAGTGATTTTTCAGTAGGATAGTGCTGCTATCTGACAAATCTCTCATGCTGGTACTTGGCTGTCTAAGAAAATCGTAACTACCACTGCTTTTATCGGCCATTTCGATTCAGCACATGTAGTTTTACTGAAGCGCTGATTGACTGATTACAAGTCGTGCTGATGTGCACAATGTTTTTTGCTGAATTACTGAGGGACAGATAAAACATCGCAAATGTGGCATAGAAGATAGCCAGACAGGGAAAGGGAGAGAAAGGTGGGGATCAGGAAAGCAAGAGAGAAAGAGACAGAGAGAGGGAAATAGCGTGAAAGACGGTGATGGGATGAGAGACGATTTTGCTTTGCTCTGTGTTATACTTTGTTTACTCAAGATCTTCTCATATTTGACATGTGCCTTGCTCTATTCTCCGCTTCACCAAGTTTAGCCTCTCCTTCCTTCTGACAGCTAGAATCAGGGAGGGCCTTAGGGGTGGACACACACTCTGACAACAAAACATAGAGATGGGAGAAATATAAAAATCACTTATCTGCACCTCCTTAGCTGTGTCCTAATTCTACACTAGATACTAATTCTAAGCTGATTTTTAGTATGCATTGTTTTTACATTGGAAAGGTTCTAAGTAGAAAAAGTCATTAATTTTGAAAACTAAAAATGCTTAAATTTTGAGGGTGCCATTGATACAATATTATCACACAATGCACAATTTGTGGATCGAGGTAAAACAGCTGGAGAAAGATACTGGGAAACAAAAAGTGTCCCAAATCCATGCTACATACCGATTGTATACAGCATATTGTACACCATACTAATCCCTATAGTATGCTGTTTTTACAGTTAAAATACAAGACTTTAAAAGAATAAAGCATTTTACAGAGGAAATTATACAATACAATACATCTGTCAGACGTTGAACTGTGACTTCAGAATTCATCTACCAAACAAAGAGACAGCAAAATGTTCCAAAAAAATTGTTTGATGTGAGTATGTTTTATTTTATCTCTCAAAACCTGCTTAGTATTAGTGTGTCATATAGATTTGGTACACAGGTGCAGTTTGATTGATGTATGTATGTATGTATTGCATTGTTGTGTGTGTTCCTCTTAATACAAATAGTGCATTGATTTCTCAGCATCCTTTGACAATTACTATATAGTACATATTTTATGCAAGTAAGTCGGGCTCATTGGATCGGGTGTTTGACTGATTAAAGTGAAGTTTAAAATACATTTAAAAACTGTAAATGTGTTTATGCTTGTGTTGTTTGCAAGTGCTGAGATAAAAAATGGACTTGGTGAGAAGTAACAGAGGGATACGCTAGCTGCAGGGATAATTTTTTATTAACTAGTTTTATTCCTCAAGAAACATATACAGTAGCTGTATTATTCTCAATATATTCCATCTTGAATAAAAACAAATCACACTGCCTAAAGCTCACTTTTCTCTGCTTGCTGCTTTATTATCTCAGTTTACTTCTCTATCTTTCTTTCTCCCATTCTCTCTGACTCCCCCTCTTTTGCTCTTTCTCTCACTCTGTCTCTTTTTCTCTCTTACCCCCCGTTGTATTTAAATGCATTTGGGTCAGCGGTTCCACCTCCAAACTGTGTGAAAGTGTGTCTCACTTCATTTTCTGCACTTTATCGCTCTATTTAATCTCACTCACCTATATAAATACATTTTCTTTATACATAAGGTACATTCATATAAGACATAAGCGTGGCCTTGTAACCGCATCAAACAGTGAAATGCTTAGATGGGTATGTTCTCGTGATGAGTCACAAGGAAACGGGGTCAGTGCCATTGTCATATCGATGTTCCCATGAGCATCGTAGTCTGACCCTGCTTAGTCCTCGTGGTTCTTCCAGTCTCTCTCCACCCCCCCAGCAGAGTGACAAAGTGTTAGTGATTCCATGACAAGGTCACAGACCTTGGTCTTGGCATCAACAAGCTCTTTGTCTGCCCCTGTGGCCACTGACCATTGTCGTGGCAACAATGCAGAAAAGAGTAACCAACGACGAGAAGCTCTGGATTGTTCCGGTGTCTTCACAGAGGTTTGATCTGACCTTCGAGCATGAAAAGAGGCACACTAACAGGAAGTCTCCACAGTGGAAAGTGGAAGAGCACCTTTTAAGTAGAGAGCTATTTTATTATTATAAAAGTCTTAGCAGACCTTCACCTGAAATGGGTTTTCTAATACTAAACATAACAGTACGGAGTGATGCGATCAAAGATAATGCACTGTGGAGATGCCTTCTCATAGCTCCGCAGCAAAGTGAAAGAAACAGTATACTTCATCAGCACTTTACCTTGACAATGCTTTGCTTTGATGTCTTTCTCCCTGACTTATGAATTCATTTAGCAGAACTGCTGTTTGAGAGAAATATGTCACTGAAAAAAAAAGAATACGGTGAGGAAATGGAAGTGTGTGTGTGTGTGTTGGGGGGGGGATGGAGAAATTGCACTGGGGAATAATTCGGCTAATGGAGTGACTGTTTGGATATTCAGCAGAAGTAGGAACGGAGATTATGATCTTGCAATTAGCGTAACAAGGTTTTATTGATTGGCTGCCGCTGTAGCGTCTTTGCTGCCAAGACACTGCATGTGGTTTTAACATGCACAGTGTGTGTGTAGCCCAGCCAGTCACACTAGTCCTACTACTACTAGAGCAGAATCCAGCTCAGTGTTGCCATCGAGCTGTGGCCATTTCCCGAGCATCAAAGCTGAAATATTATGGATTTGCAGAGTTGAAAGGGTCTATTTGAATGCCTGATGATAAAGTGGACTACATTTGCATTTAAGTTAATGCATCGCTCTCCTTCCTCTTTGA